TGCTCTAAATAGCATTGGGCTCAAATCGCAGCACTAACACACACTAGTCTACACCTGTCAACGACCCCAACAACAGCGCTGCAACTTCTTCCTCTGGGCAAGTGACGCCGAAGCCCGGGAGAAACTCGCTGTTATTTCCAACTCAAGGACAGAGCCACAGAACATGCCTCAAACTCCCACCAAGACTTTGCGACATGGAGGGCCGGGCCTTCTCACCCCACAGACTGATCGCCCATGTCGAAATGCCCCTGGGTCCGGGTCGAGGAGCTTTCAGACCCCCTCGAAAAGCGCCAAGGCGCGCATGATGACTGAGGACTCCGATGGGCTTGAGTGGGACGATACCATTCCAGACGAAGCCACTACAGCGCAGCATAAGCCTCGCCAGCCGGACTTTGGACAAGCCGCGGGTGGCTCGGATTTCACCCCCCGGAAGACTCCCCGGACAGATTCTTTAACCTCACCCAGTAAACGGAAGCTGTCTGATATGGAGGGTGCGCCGTCCCTCACGCCTACATCAGTGTTTTCCCCTCGGTCGACTGCGTGTCAGCTTCCTCCGGCCTCAGTTGAAATCTCGATGACTCCTACGCCGAGCAAATATAAGAATGCGCTCTCTGCTGATTCTGCACTAGATACATCTGTAATATCACTTCAGGTCATGAGGATTCTAGAGAGTCATAATGTGGTCGTGTCGAGGAAAGCTCAGGAGGAGCTCACAGAGCTACTAAACAGACATGACCTGAAAACCAGAGGCATAATACGAGGACGGGATATCTCGCGAAGTGCAATCAAGAAGAAAGATGAGGAGATTATGAAGCTTAAGGAAAGGATTGCAGTGCTAGAGTCGCAAAGGGAATTGAGTGCGAGTGTGGATAATGGTTTACGGAGATAGTAGTCCTTTTTGTGGAATTGTGGAACGAATGGTAAGATACCCCAGCTTGTTCTTCGGCACGTTTTATTTATTGTTTGTTTTCGGGTTCATATGTGCCGCTCCTGTTTGGCTTAGAGCGATTATTACTAGCATTTTTTTTTTTTTTTTTGAATTCAGGGCGAATATATGCGCTCGGTTTACGTATTCTAGAACATATGGAAACGGCTATAGACTCCTTATTTTAAATGTTGTCTTTTCTTTTCTATAAAAATTGTCTAGCGTTAAACTAAATTATAGATCTTATCAAGATCTACCAATGTCACGTGCTGATAAATCGCAAACTCCCAAAATCACAGCCCAAAATTAGCGCACCAAAAAAAAACATTTCTTTGAAATAAAGTCCACAGCCCAAGCAAACGATGCCCTGCCGGCCGGTCACCTAGAGAGCCTTTCAGTAAATTCTTAGCCCTCGATCATCAGACAATTATCGTCCATGGAATCCACTACAGCCCCTGACGCCTCCAAGACGCCTAACAGCGACCTCCCCACTATGTTCCGACCCCCGGTGAACCGCGCAATGCGGGTCCTGGATCGCTCATTCTTCAAGAAGACGGTACCGCTATCTGCCGCGACGGTTTTCAAGTCCTCCGATATCTCGAGGGTGCGAGGCCAGCTGCACAAGAGTCGAGATTTGCTGGGCCTTCCGAGAACGAGTTCAATCCGAGAGGTGAAGGTTGATGATGAGGTGAAGAAATGCTTGCTGCTGAGGGAAGGTATTAAATATGATGGTTAGTGTTGCTAGCTGTGCCTTTGGGGGTGCTTATGTCAGGGTGCTAATGCGTGGTAGATGCTACAACATGGTCGCCAACCATCAATGAGCTTGTGGAGAATGGTGCTGTTGGAATTGGACGGTATGATCTCGAATTGGACTATGATTACTGGACTTACGGTAACTACTACTTTAAAATGTCTATTGAAAGAGACTGGAGCTAATATATTATATTCTAGCCGATATCATGAACGCAATTTTGCCAGAGGACATGCTTGATGAGCTTCCTCAAGGGTTCACCCAGGTGGGCCATGTCTGTAAGTCTGCTGTCTCAAGTCTGCATTTGTTTTCCCTGGTCTGACAAGAATTAGCCCATCTGAATCTCCGCGAACAATATACCCCCTATAAGAGCCTTATTGCCCAGGTGTTGAAGGACAAGAACCCAACAATCCGGACAGTGATTAGAAAGACCGAAGATGTGGGCGCCCACAGCGAATTCCGCACATTCCCCTTTGAGTTCTTGGCCGGCGATGAGGACATGAACGTCATCCAACATGAGCAGGACTGCGAATTCCGTTTTGACTACTCTCGTGTGTACTGGAACAGCCGCTTGGAGACCGAGCACCGTCGACTCGTGAACAAATTCCGTTCGGGTGAAATGGTATGCGATGTGATGGCCGGTGTTGGCCCGTTCGCTGTCCCAGCTGGCAAAAAGAAGATTTTCGTTTGGGCCAATGACCTTAACCCGCATGGATATGAGGTCATGCAGGATGCTATTCGCAGGAACAAGGTGGACAAATTCGTGACACCGTTTAACAAGGACGGAAGAGCGTTCATCCGCTGGTCTGCCAATGAGCTCCTGCAAACAGAACCAGTGACTGTAGCTATCCAAAAGAAACAGAGAAGAAGCGCCCAAAAAGAAGAGACTCCGGCTCCTCCTGTAGAGGTCTATAACCGACCCACGGTCTTCGGTCACTATGTGATGAACCTTCCGGCTAACGCTATTGAGTTCCTTGATGCCTTCCCTGGTGTCTATGCTGGCAAGGAATCGCTTTTTGCGCCACACACATCAACGCCTCTTCCGATGGTCCATGTGTATTGTTTCTCCGGTCATTCGGAAAACGAAGTGGACGACCACAAGGATATTTGCCAGCGCATCTCGGAACGAATTGGCTACACCATCACGCCGGAGGATCGGGTCGGGGGGAGTGGAAACGCAGAGCTGGAGCTGGCCATTCACAATGTCAGATTGGTTAGCCCCAACAAGCAAATGTTTTGCGCTAGTTTCCGTCTACCTAAAGAGGTTGCTTTCCGACAGGTATAATGCAGAATGTTGCATATAAAGTCATCGCATTGCAGGAGGCGTTCGGGCCGTGAATAGATTATGCATAGACCAGACAATAGTCAATCTGATGTTGATACCCTTTCCGCTCAATGTTTTTTACATTATTACTACCAATACAATGTGGACTTTCCTTCGTCCATGTTGATGTAGGTCTTATCACTATACAAAGGCGGTGACATAGATACCGCCTTTTACTGCCCATACAAAACTCCGCCCTCAAGAGTTCTCCCGGTCCCGCACCAGACAGAGTCAACAACCTGTGTCAACAGCCTCCAGCGTCTGGACACTTCTAACGTTAAACTCGACGGGTCATCGAAACGAAAGGTTCATTGTATCAGTGCATCGCGCGATCTCAAATACAGCACCAAAATGAGCGTCCAATTGCCACCCCCAACACATCGCAAGCGCGCCTTGCCCCAAGGCGAGCTCGAAGCCGCTTCAACTCTCAAACTAGGCGCGGATCAGAATACCCATACCTTATCACTTTCCGAAGCAAGACTTGTCATCAACAAAGTGCTGGAGAACAAGCGCAGGGGCGGGAAGAAATACGAGGAGCCGGAGTGAGTGCTGGAAATCGACCGGTGTCTTTCACCATACCGAAGAATGCCATCATGCTCACATGCTTTTTACAACTTAGGAACCTTACTAAGACCCTGGACTACCTCGAAGTGTTTGCTCGGTTCAAGGATGAAGAGAATATCAAGGCTGTCGAACGACTGCTCAATTCGCATACGGAGTTGGAGATGTTCGAGCGGTCACAACTGGGTTAGTCACTTTGTCATTTGCTTTTTCTTGCCCCTGCTAGGCCTTTGGCTTTCTAGTCTTCCCTTTTTTGAGGTTCTTTCAGCCGAGCCGCTTTTTGCCGTTAGTCTGCATGTCCCCCATTAGTCTAACCAGGAGACAGGGAGTTTGTGCTGCGATAATGCCGAGGAAGCCAAGTCCCTCATCCCCAGTCTTCAACACAAAATCTCCGATGGCGATCTGCAAGAGCTCTTGGATGAGCTGACCAAGCTGCGGAACTTCACGGAGTAATCTGTTATTGCCGTTTCTTATTGGACCATACTTCCTCTTTCGCATCTTTTTATTACCTCATTTTTTTATTTTATTTTATTTTATTTTTTTTTTGGCTGGCTTTTTGTTGGTCTGTAGCATGGAGTTTTGGAGTTGAAGTTGACTCGGAAAGCATGTGATGTAAAACTGCATGATTACCACATGAGAAAGATGATATAATAGACATCTATAAGATTGTTGGGTCGGGGATAAGGAAAACAATGCTGACGGCCTGATAAGAGCCGGGGGTTTGCATCGGGTTGGGAGATAGTGAGGTGACATCGCATGCATTCCTGAAGAGCCACAACCAGTTGTCCAGAGCTAGATAACAAGCTAGCTAGCCTCGGGAGCGAAGAGATTTGATAATGATAAACTCCCGCTGATAACTCATTGGTTCGACCAGAAGACATCTGAAAGTTTGCGGTGCAGGTGTACGCATGCGATTCCGAGTCCTCAATATCTTCCATAAATATTAAGTAATGAAATCTTGGCTCCTGCAAATGACATGCAATACCTACAGTACGGCTCGAGCCTGGTGTTACCGCCTACGGCATACTCTGTGATGGTTTCCCGAAACCCTAATTGCTCACATCAACGCTAGTCTCCCTTGGAGGGTTTTTCCGAAATATCCTTGCCGACGGAGATTGTACCGTGTTGTATCTGGGCTGCAACGGACTGTGTATTCACTCGTATCGTAATTACATCTATAAAGTATATACGTACATATATCATCGTCCATTGATACGGGAAGACTATCAACCATCAATATATACATGATGACGGAATGAGAATGCAGAAAAGCACGAGCTTATCATGTCGCTGAATCCACGTTGAAGTCTACTCAATGAGTTTCTCATGAGTGTGACCACACATCGCCCCCCAACTAATCCATCATTCATACTATAGATCGGCGAGATATTCCCCATCTGACCCTGATTCACACAGCATCAGGCACTTCTTAGAAATAACTATCGTTCTCGAGAATACTCACTCGATCCCGGGCGTCCATTCCACTCCTTGACCATGACGCGCACGCCTTGGCTCCCTTTTCTCGGATGGCCATTGAACATATCACGCACAATACGGACGTCATCAATTGTGGTTTTGTACAGCTCCATATCGAATTCTCTGAAAACTCTGGCGACCACCAAAAGTATTTCAGCCTTCGCGAGACTATTGGATGGATGTCAGTGTGCTATATTAGAGGGGTGTCTAAGGGAATATCGCATACGGGATGCCGATGCACTGCCTCGACCCTTTGCTAAAGGCGACCAGGTACTTTTCGAGCCGCTTCCTTTGCATTTGGTCAATCCATCGTTCCGGGATAAAACTTTGCGAATCAGGAAAGATGTCTTCGTTATGATGTACGAATAAGCTCGTCATACCAACCGGCACCTAAGATCTATGGTAAGCGGGAGTAGTCTCTATATGATAAGCCATAGGAGAACGAAAGATGATTACCCTAGGAGGAATGATCCAATCTTTATATCTCATAGGCTGACCTGGTGAGCTGCGTTGAAGCCGAGTTGCAACAGCGTTGGTGATTCTGCATATCAGGATGAGCATCCAGATGAAGCGACTTTAGCAGATAATTTTCCATACCTAAGACCCTCCAACATAACAGAAGTCTAGTATATTTAGCAACAGAGTTCTATTAGAGAGTGCGGCCTGGACAAGAAATCCTACCAGGTAGGGCATTGCCTCATATTCCACTAAGGACGCCGTCCCATCGGGGTCCAGTCGGTTCAGCTCCTCGCGTAGTTTCTCAAGCTTTTCGGGATTATTTAGGAGATGGAATGTAATTGTGGCTAAATTTCTGGCAGTCGTTTCTCCGCCAGCCGCCATGACAGTGAAAACCTCTTGGCTTAAGCGATCAGCTGTCTTTTCTTCAGGCGGGAGCGTGCTTTCCACAAGAGCATGAAATAAGGTGTCTTTGGGCACACCAGCTCTGTCGCCTGTGGACATGCCGTCCGAGTGCTGACTATCAATGACCAAGTTAGCCAGGCGCATGCTTTCATTTTTCTGGTCGATGACCGGCCCGATGTCAGGATTGATGCTCATGACGAGCCATCGTGGGAGTAGCTCAAAGAGACTAATGAACCAGCGGAATTGTTTGAATTGGATTCCCGCATGCACAATGGCCTGCATTGTTTTGGACCATTGTGGGCTGAAGTCTGGGTCATCAAGATAGTGAAATGAGTGCCCCATGGTGTATTCAACGACCACATCTGTAGTGAAAGCATTAAATGGATGGTACACATGTAACGGAGCATGTCTGTCTTTCCAGGCGCGCAATCCATCGCACAGTTTGTCAACCATGCCCCGGAGCATTGGTTCCAGTTCTCGAATTCGCTGTTGGGAGAAGAAAGGATTCATCGGTTGACGTCGTATCCGATGGCGCCGATAGTCGACTGTCCCAAATGCAGAAGCCGGTGCCCCAAACATTCCAGTCAGGTGTAATGACTTATCTCGCGGTGCATCTCGAGAGTAAAGCGCATCATAATATTCAGCATCGTCAATATGTAGCTCGTACGGGCTGATTCGCACGATTGGGCCATATTTGCGATGCATCTCGGCAATCTGAAAAGTGTATTGACCTTCTAAGAATGAATCGTAGTAGAATTCATACCACATTGTAAGGGCGGCCAGTTTTGGCCCCGGGAAGTGAGCAATAGGTGAAAGCCATAGCCGTTGCAGAGCCAACCAAAGCATGTAAACCGCCCCTGCGACACCGAAAGAGACAAATATCTGCCACCACACCATGATCAGTTGAGTAACGAACAGCGAGAAAAAGATTCCAACGCAGCCGCGGTAGGTAAGATGCAACGAGGAAATTCCTTCTCATGGGTCAGGGCTATTCCCCGCCAGAAATCCTCAGTGACCTTGACAAGTTCATACCGTTCGTGGCGTATCTAGACAAGCGGAAAAGGAATCCGAAGTACAGTATTGGGTAAGGAAGATGTGTTTTGACCCCTAACTGTTCCATAAACGGACCGTTAGGCTCAGCCCACAGTCCCTTCCCGCTACCCCAAGTCCAATAGATACTTCTCCATTGCGGGCGTGTCAATCTCGCTTACATAGCCGAACTCAATATCAACTTCGTTCGGTTAAAGCGCATGATACAGATTTCCCCTTGCTTCGCCTGGAGAGCTTTGTGGTGCTCACAGAAAAGCTGCTAGCCAAGGAATTTGACCCGTCCCTGGGTCCAAGAGGATGCCCAAGTGGATGACTGAGCTTATGAAACCATATCATATATGGCACAAGAAGATAAGTATCCCACTTCACTCCTTATTCAGGTTCGCTTTCACCGAGCAAGACCCGAAGCTGGCGAGTGTAGGCACACAAGCCCATGGCCGGCGAGATGCAGACAAATAACCACCAGGAGGGCATCTTTAGCATATCACCATTTTACCATGTAATCCAACAATGAAAGTCGTATGAGGGTTGAATGATGGTCGGTATGGATTATAATCGTCACAAGGAGTGTATGCTATCCCCCAAGACAGAAGATGCCATCGAGAAGCCTAGTAACTCATTATGGAAGATCTCATGAAGCGTTGGCTAAGAGAAAACTGTAACTGATAGGTTGAGTATCGTGATGTGGTGGGTGGAAGTCTGCATCACCATAGATCTATGTACCACTGCGTGACATGAGCTAGGTAATATCCGTAACGTAATGTATACGTATTAATACAGGGATATTGATATTCCGAGGCTATATTGAATTAAGGCTAGTGGATCTTGGCATTGCCGCCTCAGGAAGTGGACTGGGGAATACTGTACTAGTATATCTACATGTAGCTAGTAGTAGCTGCTAGCGTGCTTTAAAGGGAAGCGATAAGGTGTACCTCCTCGCGTTTAGATTGTACTGAGTCACCAATGGTCACGCGTCTGACTCGTGACCCGACATGATGAATCATTGATTATATCATGCGACAAACTACTAGTTATGTATATAAATCCTATTGTATTGTTCAACAATACCTTATTTTTAAAAGGGTGCAAAAGGGAAATAATAGAAAAATAAAATAAAATGAAGAAAACGAAAGAAATAGAAAAAGGAAAGTTCCGATCTATCGACTCTTCGCCCTCGCAATTATTAATAGCGTCGAGGAGGAAGCTAGGTAGTTTACCTTTTGTCTCAGGATTTGCTACGGAGTTATTACCATTTCTCCGTGCCAGGACTGTCGCCGCCGCAAAGGTGCCCAATGACCATCCACCAATGGACGAACACAGATTTGCTGACGAGGGCAACCTCCATCCACCCTTTCTTCTTTCTCCCCCCCCCCTCCTCCCCGTGCAGCAAAGCGGCTAACCCACATGGGGCTTAAGAAAAGATGTGGGGAAAAGCCGCAGAGCTGCAGGGCCGATCCCCGTTGCCGGTTTCGCACTAAGCCGATTCTGCCTGAATACACGGGCGGTGATTGGTGAGCAATGGCGTTATCGGGTGGCAATGATTGGTCGGTGCGGCTGAGTCAGGACGGACCGGATACTATTCATTTTAATTCGAATCGGGTTAAAGTAAAGGCTGACCTGCTGCAGCAAGATCTCTTGTTAACCATGTTGTAGTCGGTCGATATTAATATCTGCAGTATGACTGGGTCGGATAACCATTAGATAACATTTACCGAGGAAAGGTAGACTTTCGATCCAAATTCAAATTTCAGACCTTCAACGCTTTTCTTTTTGGGTTGCTCCGATCCACCAAGGGATTTTTCAGTACGTAATATGAAAAGACGAGGTCGGCAAGAAGCATGATCGCGACCCAATCAGCTGGGCCAGGCTTATCTCTGGTCGCTTGTGCCAATGAAGTTTCATTATACAGGCAAGCAGGAACCAAAGCAGCGGGCGAACATGACGTCCAACAACCGTGTATTCTGTTACGTGTGGGAAATCCTTCGTATGGAGAGTTCCGGAATGGGCGTCGCTGATCCAAACCATCTTTCATGGTTTCTCTTATTGATCCTGATGACTACCACCAAAACACGGCAGATGGACTTCATCTGATTACTTGACGAGATTTCGCCATCCGTCATCCTCTCTGGCTTGACTGGACTTTACTTTATTCCCTTCATCTCCCACCCCCTTCTTTGGCTTTCTCGCTATTCTTTTATTTATTTATTTTCTTTCTTTTCTAGACTTCGTCTCTGTCAGATGAAAGGAACCAGTTTGAATCAGTTACTCCGTACTAGTGGATCGGATACCCTTTTAGATGTGGTTGATCGCGCGGACGGTCCACTTATCTGATATTGCGTGCTGCGAGAGAGAAACTCTGATATCAATTTTCTCATTCAATTATAAGATTATCTTTATCATTGACCATTATCAGTGATTTGATTCGCTTTTTCTATTCAATTATTTGATTTTCTTTGTCCACAAACTCCCCCAACCCCCCAGATATTCCCTGATATTGAAGATCTTTGTTGACCTCCGGTTCCGCTCCCCGTCTGTACTTCCCCCGACGTATCACCATTGCCCATTGCACCACGACATTTGGAGGGAGAGAAAAAGTCTTCTTTGCTTCCTTCAACTGTCTTCTGATAAGCTTCTCCGCTACCGTTCGCACGTCCACACCCCCCGTTCCATTTTTAGTCGTCAACCATTGGTGGGCTCGTGGTCGATCGTCAAGTCGGCCTCACGGACGTGTACCTAGAACACAACACTAGATTCCTTCGTCGCTTCCAGACCAACCCTGAACCCCAGAGATAACCCAGATAACCCAGTATCTTGGGGATCCTGGTCTGTGTCCCAGGTATTGCGGAGCTCCTTGGCGGAGTCCCCGACTGTCCCGGTTTCGTTACGTGACTGATTTCCCTTTTCGAGCCCTATCACGGCTCTTATTCGTGAGAGATTATCTCCTATCTCTCGATCTCACCCTTCCCATTATCTATCTCTCTCTCTCTCCCCGCGTCCCTTGTTGGCAGACTCCTTGCTGAATGGCTGCCGTTATCACTTTGCAGTCGTCCTCGACGACTGCGCCAGCGGCTTCTGCTGCTTCGTTCCAATCGTCAGACCAACTACTTCGATCTCGTGTACAAAACCAACCGTCTCAACAGCCAACCGCCACACCCCTTTCACCTTCCACATCCATTACTGCCTTACCCCGAGTGCCTGTACCAGGTCGGGATGGGCAAAGTTGTGACGCCTGTCTGCGCAGAAAGAGCCGGTGTGCCATGAACGAAATGGTCAATAAATGCTACTCGTGCGATTTTCATCGTCAAGATTGCACATTTACCCTATCCGTGACGAGTCGCCCGAGCACGGCGGAAGTACAGTCCAAAAAGCGAAAGCTAGATGATATTATCCTAGAGGATGTAGAATCGCCCAAGAGGTATGGATTGCCCCAGCCTTAAGTGGGCATCGAAGGCCGATCTCGGACGTCATATAGATAGACCTGGAGACACTAATCCTTTTCCCGCTGGCAGACCTTCGACCAACCCCCCAGTTTCCAAAACTAACCTGGCTCGTTCGCCATTGAATACTCAAGCCCGGATCACACCAGGGTATTGGTATCAGCGAACTCAACACATCGGCTTGACCACCGACTTGGAACCCGCCCTCCTCGAATTCCTCCCCTTGGACCAAAACCACGAAGGCATCATTGCGTCGTCCCGTGTACGAAAGTTCGGTGACGACGGCACCTTCATGCGGATGGTTAACACCTTATCCCATGCGGACTCCCCGCAATCCGCCTCCCTAGATGCCATTGAGAGCCTAGTTGCCCCCTATGGCTCCACTTTGATTGATAAGTTTTTCGAACATATTCACCCAACGTTCCCCATTCTCATGGAGGATTCGTTTCGTCACTCTTACCGCGCTCGACAAGGCTTGTCTCCTCTCTTGCTGTCCGCTGTCTACGTGCTAGCATTGAAATTTGTGGATGTGGGACCGGCTTCCCAGTCTGTACGACGACCAGATGCTGCTCGTTTGGAGAGCACGGCCTTGAAGTTACTGATCGAATCTCTACCCTATGCATCTATCTCAACCATCCAAGCGGGTGTGCTCCTAATGGAAAAGTCTACGATTGCCACACACGCGTTGAACGCGCAATTGGTCACTGCAGGCTTCGAGCTAGGGCTCCATCAGGATTGTTCTGGATGGCGGATGGAGACCTGGGAGAAGGGTCTCCGAAAACGTCTTGCGTGGGCATTGTATATGCAGGACAAGTGGTCCGCGTTGGTGCATGGTCGTCCGTCCCATATCGTATCCTTTAACTGGACGGTACAAGATCTGGTCGAACAAGATTTCGCCGAGGCATTCCCGTCCCACGACTCTCAAGACGACGATCCCGTGGGTCACGGCCCGCTCTATTTCTGTCACATGGTTGCCTTAACGACTATCCTCTCCGATATCTTGGATCGCTTTTACACCTTGCGGGCGATCGAAGAGTTCAAAGCCGCTGGTGGTAACCGGACGCGTATGATCTTGGAACGCGCCAAACCAGCGCAGATCCGGCTGAAGGAATGGTTCGGGCGTTTACCTGCAGAACTGAAAATGGAGTCTGGCGGGGACCTTTTCGAAGTCATTAACGAGGACAATGCCCGTAACGGCGCCTTGCACCTGTCCTACTTCGCCACAGAAATCACCCTTCACCGCTGTATTGTACGGTCTCTCTCCCCGAAGACCGCCGATGCCTATTTATCGCACATCTGCCGCTCTGCCGCCAAAACACGATTAATCTCGGCCATGGACTTTGTGAATCGGCTTCGCCCGCCGCACCTGAGGTCTTTCTGGCCGGCCGCATCGCGGACCAACTTCGCTCTGATCGGATCCTTCGGGGTGCTCCTGCGTATCACATCCCCAACCAAAGAGGAAGCCGAGTTCTATCGTCTCCGGCTCTGCGAATACCGCTGGACGCTGAGCGTCAGCAAGAAGAACGCCGAATTCATGGAGTTCGCTCTGGACAGCTTGGACAACGCCAACACTCTCGATCAGCATGTGCCCGAGAAACCGGGCATTGACGAGCTGATGACTAGCGCGGCCAAGCCGACCGTGACTCAACCCCGTCCAGGCACGGCCACGCAGTTGGAAAACACGATTCTAGCAATGGACCAAGGAAATGACAGCGGACGTGGAGGCACTTCGTCTGTTATATCTGGCTTAGCCTCTCCAGCAACATCAGTCAGCGAGGACAGCCTTCATGATGCTGCAGTTCCACCATTATAATCACCTTTCACACCTACCTTCTTTTACCTCCCTCTCATAATCGTCGGACATAAGCACCACCGACACCCACGAATACCTTGTTGATGCATTGATGACCTCTCCCTGTTTTGTTATTAGATGCTGGGCGTACTGCGAGGTCCGGTTATCAATTGATACCTCTTGTTTTGTTTTCTCTCGATGATCAACTGTTTGATTATGATCACATTTCCCTGGTTGGATGAATAGCTCTTTCAGCAAAGCTTGTACATATGGGATCAGGTTATGATTATGGATATAGACTGGATGGCGATCGGATAGATAGCATGAATTATGAGCATATTAATAGCCACACGAGCCATTATACAAGTAAAAACAGACAGAGAAATGGGGTAATGATAGATAAACTACGATGGGGGGTTACCTCACATACCTGTATTGGTTCATCCATGTGCGAAGTTTCGCAAAAGCACGTCATCCCATCCTAGGTTAGCGACACAACATGCCTCCCTTACCTCATGTTTCTCTAATAGCACCCCAACGAGATTGTGTCACTACCACTCTCTTATTGCCAATTGATCACCTCATACATGTGAGAATAGAGAAAAGTTCACTTCTAATGCCACCACCCCATCGAATTCTAACGCAATAGTTATCACGGCTCCAGAAGGTACGAAAAGTCATTCCCCCCATTTCCGAACGCAAAATCCTCCAATATCGTCGGGTCAACTAGATTAGCCAAGATCTCCGCCCGGGTATCAGGTTGAGAGTCTTGATTGAAGAGCGAGAAGAAGAAATTCCCGTCTACGCCCTGTGACACTAACGGCGCCATATCCACCCGTGGATGTACACTCTGGTCGTTATCCGTCTCTAGGCTCGACGAATCGATGTTGGTGTCGACATGAGGAGGCAAGTCTGGAACGACGGACACTGCTCGACGCCTTGCGACACAGGCGCGAGCTACGTCGAGTACTTCGCAGATCATCTCGGAGCAGCGGCGAGCGACGACGATATTGGTCATTGAGTCGAAGATCTCGAGGCTTTTTTCGACGTCCTTGAGCAGCTCGTCCTCTTTTATACCTGGGAATCCGGAGAGTAATAGGTGGAGGAGGATCATGGCTCCGTAGAGGGCGTAGGTAGTGTTGTACCACCTGTTTTGGTTTTGATACTGTTAGTTTGGGGGGTTGATAGAAGTAGGTATGGTGGGATTGTTTACCAGGTACGTATGTATATTCGGTGAAGGAATGATTCGTATTGCATTTGGATGCTGGTCCTTGCTGCTGTCAAGCAGATGTGGCCGTGCTGGAGTAGGTTGGGTGACTCGGCGGTGCATGTTGATGCTGCCAGGAACGGACGGTGGATGAGTATTCGCGTATTATAGAATCCTGGAAGTAGATAGTACTTAAGTATATTGTTCCTAGATGATTGTTGTATAAAAGGTATCAAGGAGCACTTACTCAGTCGTAAGACTAGTTTTTGCTTGAACGCCCACTCTGGATCGTTGAGTGAGGCAGCGTCTACGTTTAGAAAGGAGGGTAGGTTAGATTTCCACTCCTCTAATTCATTATCAAGGCTCATTGCAATCTGCGACATCTCACTCGTAGGGCGTTTCGGTGAATGATAGAGCAGATGAGACGCCTCTGACATGATCTGTGCTAAAGCTACCATGACTGGTATCATAGCTACGTCGTCCTCATCTGCTTCAGGGTCATGGGCACTGCTGCTATTTACCTATTGCTATATTGTCAGACTTTGGTTTCCTGTGGCTAGTGTTATTTGGAGCTTATACCTTTAATGAGGGTAAGGAAACCTGATAATGGTCAAGCTGCTTCAAGCTGTCCAGCCTCCCCGAGGAACCGCACATTTCACTTCACAACATATCAGTAGTATACCTTGTTTATATTTCTGGGAAACTCACACTTCATGTGAGTATATGCACCTATATAAGTTTAGTTCTGTGACGCAAAGAGGACAACTAGGCGAGCACTCACCACCAGGTTCGTCGGCCTTCTTTACGTGTGCTTAGCGGCAGAGACGACATTCCAGATGCTAATCCAATTGCGATCGCTGTTCTAACTGCCATTCCGCTATACATGAAGCAGCTGTGAGGCCGTAAAGCGTTCTGACAGAATACGCTCTAGCCACGTCCTCGTTAGATAACAAATCAATCAAGCACAACAGATACTCGACTTACTAGGAGCAAGAGAGCCTGGGCACTCTCTAAGGAGCAGCTCTCGAATATATCGCCAAGGGCTTGTTTTGTAATGCCAAAATAGAAATCAGCAAAATCCAAAGCTGACGGCTTTCCCGCAGAATTGTATTTTCTTCCGTCAACGGAACAATTAGCATAATGATCCAGAAGAGAAGTCTCATTAGGACTAGCATTGATGGCACCCAGGGCAACCACAGCGAAATATAAGCCTTTGAACTTCGATGAGCGACGGTAGAACACTCTTCGTTTCGAAGCTACGAAAGCTTCTTGTTTACACCTTTGCATGAAGGCATTTTTACACAACATAGGGTGTATATAATGTTTGTTTGAAAAGTAGCTGCCGACGAAGATCTTCTCGATTTCAAGTTGTGCTTCATCAGAGAGCTCATCAATAGCTAGCGCCACTGCATCTTCATGATCTTATCCCCGGAGCCGGTTATGTTAGAGTCAGATTGTCGCTAACATAGGTGTTTACTACTCACCAGGGAAAGTTCGAGGCGGATTTCTTTGGTTCCCAACTATCGAGCATTGTCTGTTTTCATCATTCTCGGGTCGCCCGCTGATCTGAGGTGGAGAGGTACTAGAATAACCTGGGTTGTAAAGCAGATTGACTATAGATAGTTGGGCCGCACTCGTTGCAGGCTTTGCATTTTCCCGTTCCTTGTCCACTGTCGAGTGAAGTGTTCGTCGTGGTGATGCATATTTCACAGTCGATGACTGGTCCAGCGCCAGGCAACAGCCCTCGTCCGGAAGGTTAGAAGACAAGTTTCCAGGTACGTTCAATGTTCTAGCTTCTGCCTGATTGCGAGCCCGCGCATATAGATTTCCAAGAAAGGCGAGATTCGAAGAGTTGCCATAGAATTCTGTGCCGTTTGTGTGTAGGTTGATTCCGCTCAGGCCGTCTCTAGATGCTGAATCATATACTTCCAGGGTAGGCGCTACGATTACTCTCTCAGTATAAGCTCTTTTCGAACAAAGTTCATAAGGATGTAGCATCTCACCAGCTAAGACATCATTCCCATTTTTGGGACTAGAACATCCGGGCGATGTAGCATTGCGGCTGATAGTCGTACGAGGCGCACGTGCCGCTTCTCCAGCAAGGAGATCTAAAGGACCACGGTGATGCGAGGTCAATTGGTTGGGTGAACTCACCTCCGGCCACGGAGATGGCCGAACTTGATCTCTAGGTGCCCTAGCAGTATTGAAATGGTCAAAAGGACATGAAGGCCAGTCAGGTATAGGGGAGAGAATTGCCAACCTTTCCACTCCCCTGACTTGGGCATGCCTTTTAACTGTTGGTGTTGAGCTTTCATTTTGGCCAGGAGCTCTGTAAACACAGTCAAGCGCGTGATCTATAGTCTGCGTTAGCCGACTGTCCCTGACACAGTGCACTCAGTTCTTGGACTATCACAGCGCGATCAAGAGGGGTAGCTTACAAGCACAGTAGGAGCATGGCTGCGATTGGTCACACTATCATGATGTAATTAGCCCAGTTATCCTTGAAAGGGCAGTTCTAGTATACTGGCAGCGGGTGGTTGCAAAATAAGAATACAGTACTTTCGTCTTGCGAACGCGACAAGTTTCACAGGCACGTGAAGCACGTGGATGTCTTCGACGTGATGCGCGCAATTTTGCAGTTATCGCTTCACCTCTGTTCATTCTGATTTTCGTTACACTGTCCGCTGGGCGAGATTTTCATTAAGTGGTGGGTGCTTGAAATGATTCAATGGGCTCCACATTTATTTAATAAATTAACCTGGAATTTAGATTTAATTTTATCCGCCGACCCGATCGCCACCAGACAGGCTATGGAAGCTCTACACTTGGTAGCTATCCGGGGTACGCTGGGTCCGGGGTTGCTTTTAAAATATTCATATCAATAACCTAGATAATCTGGCCAGCCTTCAAATATTGCCATCGACTACAGCATTTCTTCCTGAGCAGCTACAGTTATGCTCTACAATACTTTAGCGCGCACTGTTGGATGAGTCGGCTCGATCAATGCCATATATCAGCTCTAGCTATCAAAGGATCAGGCAGGTCGTGATTTTCGAGAACGCTGTTCAATTAGTCTTCTCCGTGCCTGCAACTGACACGCGCATTCAACCAACGAATGGTGAATGAACCGATACCTCGAAGCGATGTCTCGTGACGTAACGGGCTGTCAGTCATTTAGGACTACAACTTCTCTAGACGTTTCCCCTTTCATAAGATATTAATCGCTGTTACTTCGTCTGTAGTACATGTATGAACCTCCGACGGATGCCCCGATAGACGCACATCTGTTCCGACGGGATAACGGCATATCTATCAGTACCATTTCCGGCTCAACCACTTATGATGGCCTCTGTATTTGCTATGTAGACCCCGCTATATTAGTATGTGGGGAAGCTCTCTAATTAATGGGTTCCTTTGATTATACCGAGGATGATCGGGCAGTATGAACTATAAGAGACCGAGTGTTCTCCTGCGTCGAGGGTTCAGTCAATCGAGCAATTCTTCAGCGATTAGTACTTTTAGCAGTTATACAGATTGCCGCAACGAGCAACAGATGGCTCTCAAGCCAATGACACCCCCAATGTTCTGGTCTCAGCGAGAGAACTTGTGCCAAATGGGCGACTGCAACAACTCCAGAAGAGACGGCCGCCGACCTTCCACCAATGCTGTACGGAATATAGACGCTCCTTATGAATCAAGAAACGACAAGAAAGCCAATAGAAAGCGCATAATAAACCCAACATATGTATATCTATTAACAAACTAAACATGCAGTAGGTAAGCCGTTTTACATGTGCGTATCTTCACAAATTGGCATTATCTCCTTCATATTACATATTTCGGCAGCGACTAATCGGACGCCTCATGTGACTAGTAGTTGAAAAACCTTCCTTACTGAATCGAGTGACAACCTGCCTGAAGTGGACCAGATTCTATCTATAGATGACCTAATTAGGAAGGCGAACTCAAAAAGGCAGATGTCAGGATTCGACCTGGGTAAGTTTCCCCGACACCTCCCTCATTCCCCACATCTCCCCTCTTCTGCGATTACTTATTCTTGGAATAAACTCCGTATAGATGCAGTCTAAGTCTCACATATTACCTAACAGATCGTCCAAGCCCGAGAATAAGCGTGCAAGATAGTGGCGGAAGATATCCGAGTTCCGACAGATAGGGCGATGACGCCGTCGATGGTGTGCATAGATGTTAAGCTTATCAAATGATAGACTACTCCAATTAAATCGGTAAGCAGTGCGGAGTATGAGTATTTATAATGCGTCGATATTTACTAGTAGCGATAAGTACCCTCCATCACTACCGAATCACTTGAAGTTATTGTATCCTCCCTAACGTAAATATATATATGCCTTTATCTTTCTTTTCGCTTGATTGTATCTGCGTTATCGAATTAATAACCTACAATGGGGTGGGATCAAGACGCCCTCAGAGCCCAGTTTTGCCATGCACTTTCCGAAATGTACAAGAGCGAAGTCCCTCTCTACGGAGATCTAGTAGATCTCGTTTGGAAGGCAGATGCCGAAGCCATCAACGCCAGCCAGAAACAAGGGACCGCAGTGATTGACCCGGACGAGATCCTACCGTCGCGAAATCGAGTCGAAAGACATGGCGCCATCCGGCTAGGTACCGCATACGAGCTCTCAACTATTCGACGTATGTTTGCAATCATGGGCATGTTCCCTGTAGGATATTACGATCTGAGTGCGGCCGGATTCCCAATGCATGCTACTGCGTTTCGTCCCTGGACAAAGAAAGCGCTATCCAAAAACCCATTTCGAGTGTTCACGACGGTTCTACGTATGGAGTTGTTGACGGAGAAAACCCGAGACCTGGCACAAAGAGCCCTACGACAGAGGAATATCTTTACGGATCGGTTAGTCGCTCTCATTGAGCTAGCTGAAAAGCAAGGTCAGCTTAGTCCGACGGATTGCAGAGAGTTTATCGTGGAAGGGCTAGAGACGTTCCGGTGGCATTCCAGGGCGACTGTGACGATGGAGGAATATCAGATTCTAAAAGCTGAGCATCCACTAATTGCGGATGTTGTTTCCTTTCCCAGTTGCCATATTAATCATCTCACGCCACGAACAATCGATATCGATCTAGTGCAGAAAATGATGCAGGAGCATGGCATGCCCGCAAAGGAACGGATTGAAGGTCCCCCGCCACGGCAATGTCCGATTTTGCTCCGTCAGACTAGCTTTAAAGCATTCGAGGAAACTGTTTACTTCCGAAACACTCATGGAAATTTTGTAAAAGGGTCGCATACAGCTCGGTTTGGGGAGGTTGAGCAGCGCGGATGCGCTTTGACGCGAAAAGGCCGCCAACTTTACGACCGAATCTTGTCACGGGCCAATATTGAGTCTACAGGGAGAGGTGTCAGTGCTTCTGAGTATGACAGCCTCCTGGTGAATCATTTCATGGAGTTCCCGGACGATATGGCCCAGTTGCAGTCTCGGCAACTGGCGTATTTTTGTTACCATTTAACGCCACACGGTCAAGAGTCCCCAGGGCTCGACCTGCAAGGGGGGAATATGACCTTGAAACAGCTACTGGAGAATAAAATCGTCGAGTATGAGCCCATCACATATGAGGACTTTCTACCCTTGTCGGCCGGAGGTATCTTCAATTCAAATTTAGGAAGCACGTCCCAATCTAAACAGCTGGTCATGGAAGCTGAAGCTGACTTGGATGGATTTCAACGTATGCTTGGGACGTCTATAATGGATGAGTTCCATCTCTATGCGCAAATACAAGAGAACAGCTTGGAATGCTGTCGAAGGGAATTAGGATTAGATATGATTCTAGAGTGAGTAATAGTATTTCGGTATGTTGTCACTAGGCGTATAATAATATTATTCCAATGTGAACCTCAACTTCTCGGCAACAAGCAATGGTCTTGGTTCTTGACCCTGGTAGTTCATTGATGTGATAACTAATTCTCCAGTCGAAGGTAATCGATATATCAGCGCCACTGAGCTGGTCAGATGGTCACTGGACGAGGCCTGCTTTTCTTCAACGAGAATGGCACAGCCCTACTTCCAAGGTCGGTGTGGAAATGAATAAAGGAAGGCGTTCGGAACAAAGGAGTATGTGCCGTCTGTTCCTCCAAGTTGTCACCCCAAAACAACAAAGTTCAACACTACGAGGTCCATAAAATTGGTCTAGAAACTTGGAAGATATGAAAGATGATCAAACTTTGGACTATTCCCACATCCGTGAAGAAGGATTCCACCGTTCATTGTTTACGGGTGTCTTTGTTCTCTCACCGCCACTGCTGACGAGCCCTAAATCCTTCCCGATGTGATCCACCGCCACTAGGAAGCCTCACTAACGTAGTAACGACGCGCATTTACTCAACTGTTAGTGATCCAACCTGCATAAACTATCGAGCTGACTATGACTGTATCTTGCCAATAATTGTACGGAGTATCTAATAATCTGACGTTCCCTAGGCGTTTGTTGACGGGACACTGCCACCTTTATCCTTTCACGAGAAAAAACACTTATCCTTTGGGTATTAAACTTGACTGACGGATGACTGCGCTAATCTTACGTTGTAAAGGCGATGCTATTTATTGATATCAATATATATATATATATATATATCTATCTATACATATATACCGTCAGCATGACTGCATGATGTAACATGTGCCATTTATAACCCTATAATTCTTCAGGTAGTTGCTCCAGTCGGATTATAACGGCCCCTTGCATTATCGATCTGTGGCGGACTGTATGGATGAAAGTTTAGATAGAATATTGTATGCTTAGGCCCCAAACCGAAAGATTGAGGCTTGTCCGGGATTATCCAACTGTGGGAGTATTTCTACGGAGCATTCCTCCCTCACGTCTGTTAGACATTCTCGATCATCGGGCAAGTTTTAATCTCTTTGGGCGAATCTAATATCCTCATTCCATCACAATGCGTGTATCCCTCGTGGGCTTTGTAGCCACGGCATATGCTCAACTTGGCCCTCAGGCCAACCTCTTCGGTTATGAGAAACTGGGGCATCTCTTGGGGAGTTCCTTCGGGGTCCCTGGAGCCGACGCGGCCTTCGACTATGTGGTTGTGGGAGGTGGAACAGCTGGTCTGACTATTGCCAGCCGCCTAGCCCAACGTGGATCTAATCAAAGTGTTGCCGTGGTGGAGGCCGGCGGATTCTATGAAGTCGACAATGGCAATCTTTCTGTTGTCCCGGGCTATTGCACCTACTTCACAGGGTGGTCCCCGGACAACTACCAGCCGCTTGTCGACTGGGGCATTACCACTGAGCCACAGCCGGGGACAAGCAATCGCGCCCATCACTATCCGCGTGGGAAGACCCTCGGGGGCAGTTCAGCGAGGAATTTTATGCTCTACCAACGGCCTACATTAGACAGCATGCAGAAATGGGCAGATGAGGTAGGTGACCAGAGCTATACCTTTACCAATATGCTCCCCTTCTTCAAGAAATCTGGTCATTATACGCCTCCCGATCAAGCTGCCTATACCGATATGTCCAACACCCAGGCAACAGACGTTTTCAGCCCTTCTGGGGGGCCCCTTAAGATATCGTTCAGCAATGAAGTCGATCAATTTGGCACTTATGCGCGCAAAGCGTTTGTTGGCCTTGGCATGGACCAAATTGATGGGTTCAATAGCGGCAAGCTATTGGGATCTGCGTATGCGACGTCAACGATTGATCCTAGGAACGCACATCGTTCGTCATCCGAGTCCAGCTTCCTGCAAGCGGCCCTCAATGACGGCGCAGATTTGGTAGTGTACAAGAACACCTTGGGACAAAAGATTCTCTTTGATTCAAACAATGTCGCTACCGGTGTGCAAGTTTCAACAGGCGGGACGTTTGGCACCAGGCCAGTCAACTTCACGTTGACCGCTCGCAAAGAAGTGATCCTGTCTGCAGGAGCGCTTCAATCTCCTCAGCTATTAATGGTCTCTGGAATTGGCCCATGTGATGAATTCGCCGAATTCGACATCCCTTGCATTAGCAACTTACCAGGCGTCGGCAAGAACATGCAAGACCACATGATGTTTGGGTCTTCGCACCGTGTGAATGTTCAAACCGCCTCTGCGTTCGGCAACAAGACACTCGTGGAACAATTCACGCAGCAATACCTCCAGAATGCCTCGGGTCCGCTCTCTATCTTTTCATCCAGTTACTATGGTTGGGAGAAGCTCCCGGAGCCATACCGTTCCCGGTTATCGAATCGGTCAATCCAAGCACTCTCTGCTGTTCCGAACGACTGGCCTGAACTCGAATGGCTTACCGTCGCTGCCTACCTTGGCGACGGCACCAACAGACAAACTGTCGATCCCGCGGATGGTTATAATTACGGCACTATCGCCACAGCTCTCGTCGCACCGCAATCTCGCGGAAGGGTCTCCCTGGCAGGTCCAGATATGAATACCCTGCCTGTCGTTGATCCCCAGTGGTACGTCAATCCCGCAGACATGGAGCTAGCTATCCAGGGGTTCAAACGCGGTCGTCAGGTATGGGAGAAGCTGGCTGAATTAGAGGTTGCCGATCCGGTAGAGTACTACCCAGGGACCAATGTCACGACGGACGAGCAAATTCGCGAGTTCATCAGCCACACTTCAACGACTGTCTACCATGCCTCGAGCACCTGTAAGATGGGCCAGAAGGAGGATCCCATGGCTGTCCTGGATAGTAGTGCGCGGGTATACGGTGTACAGGGCCTGCGCGTCGTCGATGCAAGTAGCTTTCCTTTTCTACCACCAGGGCACCCTCAGTCGGTGGTGTACGCTCTTGCAGAGAAGATTGCAGACGAGATTTTGAGCGCGCAGTAACGTTATAGCCCTTCGACTTTTGGACTGCACATATGATGTTAGGTTGTATATGATTTGTATAGTATTATATTATTGTCAGACCTAGTAATGATTAATTGATGCCCTAGTTCATAATGTGGAGAGACAAAGTGCTAGAAACGCATAGCAAACCACTTACTGTTGATTAGCTTCTATCGCAACGACACTTCTCGGCTCAAGTTAAACATTCAAATTGCAATATAGAATACAGTACAATGCACTATTCAATGTGCAATAAATCTATCTGTACATGTTGCCTCAATGCCCAATCAACAGATATAGAACAAGCCCAAAAGACCATCGTGACCCATCCTGCCGTAGCCTGAGGTGGTCAACTCAAACGCAGTGTTTTCGCTGCCTCTCGCCATCCCCCCATTATTCATATCGAGTATCCTGCGAATGGAGAATCCGCTTTATGCCTTGACTTCCACCTCCTGCCCATCCTCGACAATAACAGCACCCTCCTGCAGTAATTCCTCCGCAGTCTTCACTTTGACATCCATCACCCTCAGCAGGGTATACCGATGCTTGCTGCGCACCTGTCTCACATGTCGCTGTCTCCGCTTCGTCTTCTCCTTCACCCTCAATGGCTCCGAATCAACTCCCATAACACGCACTCGGCACTCAAATAGCCGCTCATCGATGTATGGTGCCCCCTTCAGCGTAAACTCACGAGATCCCAGAACAGACGCCCGGTTGAAACGGATGACATCGCCGGGCTTGACCTTGGGCATCAAGAAAGGGAGACGGAGGTGATCACCTTCAGTGAGAAGGTAGGGGCTGTCGTGGAGGTGAGCAGTGATGTAGTGCGGCTTTTGAGTCGTCAGGTATGGCAACTTCTCGAGAAGGGATTTGGTCACTTTTAACGGGGAGGTGAAGGTCGGAGCCACGGGGAGTTTGGTAGTTGGGATGGTATTCGACGGTGTGGAGATGGGTGATTGTTGACTAGGTGTGCTGGTCTGAGCGCGGGGTGTTGCGCTTAGTGGTTCCGAGGGCTGCTCAGGGTGTGATTGCGAGGTCGTGGCCGTCGTTGACGCTTGACGCAGACAGGACCCGAAGGTGGTGGTGAGAGGCCGGGCGGACTGCTCGAATGGCAGTGCGAAGGCTCTTGCGAGCGCCGTTCGGGAAAACATTTTTGTGGTTGTTGCAGAATTGTCTGCCTCCTCGTAATCCTGCACTTGCTTTTCCGGATTGGAAAAGACAAGACTAATATCGCAATGGACGTGGTGGACAGTTCTTGTATCAGTCCGAACTTGAGGCCGCGAGAAATTCCAGTGGATCCCGATGTGGTTAAACACGTGATGTGGCTGGTGCCAATGTTTTCTATGGTGATTGACACTGATAGGGTGGGTTCCAAAATTGCTGGTTAGAGATTGAATCGAGAATTATTATCCTTAGAAAAGGAAATCTTTAATTTTATATATTCCACTGCGTTTGCTGTGCAGGAAGATCTCTTGTTGGTTGTTGGAAGAGTGAAGTTTGTTGGTCTGTATATCACGTGATTTATCGATACCAAGCCACTCTATCCGTGCATCGAACTTTTTCTACATCTCCGCCAACAGAGTTGATAATACCCAGATCATCTCAACCCGTTGATTTTTATTAATCATGGTACGTCTATGACCCCCCCGATATGGCCAGATTGCTCGGCCACCCATCAAAATGCTCCGAGTCATTCGGGCGCCGCTCTGGAGGACTTTGATAATAGATATTTGGTAACTAACAATTCTTTCCAACTACAGCCTCAGAACGAGTTCGTCCTCCTGCCTCCGTCAACTGTTCTCCGTTACCCCAACATAACATACTGATCACTTCCAGGTATATCGAGCGCTGGCAAAAGCAGCACGGAAAGCGTCTTGACCACGACGAGCGAGTCCGCAAGCGCCAAGCCCGTGAAGCCCATCAGCAGTCCAAGGATGCCCAGAACTTGCGTGGTCTGAGGGCCAAGCTGTACCAGCAGAAGCGCCATGCCGAGAAGATCCAGATGAGGAAGCGCATCAAGGCGCAGGAGGAGAAGAATGTCAAGTCTTCCGCGCCCGACGAGCCATCCAAGACGCCTTTGCCGCAGTATCTGCTCGACCGTTCCCAGGCCACCAATGCTAAGGCACTTTCTAGCGCTATCAAGGATAAGCGTAAGGAACAGGCCGCCAAGTTTGCGGTTCCTCTGCCTAAGGTCAAAGGTATCAGTGAGGAGGAGATGTTCAAGGTTGTCAACACCGGAAAGAAGACGCATAAGAAGTCCTGGAAGAGAATGATCACGAAACCCACTTTCGTTGGCAATGACTTTACCAGAGTTAACCCCAAGCGTGAACGTTTCATCAGACCCATGGGTCTGCGTTATAAGAAGGCGAACGTCACACAGTATGTTTTTCCCATCTTTGCAAGGAATTGTTACTAACGGTTGTTCCTACTTAGCCCTGAGCTGGGAGTCACTGTTCAACTACCCATTATTTCGGTTAAGAAGAACCCCCAGAACCCACTGTACACTTCTCTGGGTGTTTTGACCAAGGGAACGGTATGTTCTGCTGCTGACCCTCCCCTGGTGGTTTTGCTCGCTAACCCAAACATAGATCGTCGAAGTAAACGTTTCAGAACTAGGCCTGGTAACAACCAGTGGACGTGTTGTATGGGGTAAATACGCACAGATCAGTAACGTAAATATGCCTAGAACCCTATGTAAGAGAAACCGTTCGATATGCTAACCTTGAATCTAGAACCCTGAAAACGACGGATGCGTCAATGCGTATGTCCCCCTAGACTTATTTGCCCTTTTGACTACTCGGAATTCTAACTCTCGGTCCTCAGTGTTCTCCTCGTTTAATCATTCTACGGTCAACGTTCATGAATCAGCCCCACCACTTAAATTCTTCATCTTCGATACCATTTGATGTCATAGAAATTTCGTCTTTGGCTTTCCTTTCTTCCCTTACTCGCCGGCGGCGTTCGAGGCGTGCAATATGTCATTTATCAAAAGTATCGTTCTGATATATATCCAATTGCAATTGTATTGGAAAATCATTTGGTGCAGTATACTACTATCTATGTAGGCATGTTCTTTAGGTGATTGGTTCACGTCAGCCGGCCTTCCTAGTTTAGAAAAATAGACGACCGTTCGACGGTCACAAAGCCTATAGGGAGGTTAATATGCAAAAATCAGTTATCTATCTATCGGGGGAAATACGAACGGTCAAACATGTCAATGGGATAAGTTTCTAGTCTAGTATTGCTGACACAAGTAGCTATAGGGTCGTTATACACTCTAGAATAATTATCCTGGCAGCTAACTGTGATGATTGCTTTTGCCTATACACATGCAAATTGCTATAGGATATATATTAGTAGTTTGAGCTAATAAAAAACACGCTAGCGATCACTGCCTTTCTGGGTGTTTGTTGCTCCCTGGAAGGGCATAAAACACGGTGTGTATATATAAAAGTATTTACATATATCCGCTATTGAACAGGATTGGTTTACATTTCTAAAAAATATATACAACAACCATAGATCTACGCTAGCCCGTACTTACTCTTCTAGACATCGGGATATCTCACCGTGATAGGTGGATTAAAACTTGTCCGTGGCTAGTATCTGTAACTGTATAATAGCCTTCTATGATAGAAAGTCCTTATATACCAATATTTAGAGCTTTGGGAGTAAAGGCCAGGGCTACGGTTTGTACAGAGATACAGGTTGGAAGGTTGCTTATACTATCTATCATCCCTGTAATTTTAGTTCTTAAATATACACGCCACCCCCAGGTCAAGCTCTCTGGTTGATCCACCACCGCCGGCATTCTCCAGCTCAAGAGGACAGTGGGTTGATACCTCGAGTAGAATTGCTTATACTAGCATGGATAAGACTAATTGGATGAAATTACATTGTGTGTTTAGCGCGGCGGGGTTTGAAATTAATAAGTAGTAGGTCGTAGTAGTAGTAGCTCTAGGGCAATGCAAAGGCTGCGTTGGCCTGGGTAACAGCTATGGAAGGCCGGTACTACTGAACTAAAATCTGACAGCTGGACCCGATGTGAAGCTAATATTTCTATTGCTGGCCAATCTCTAATCGTAGTTCTTTGATGCAACGCAATCATTCCATCAAGTGATTAGGGCCAACTGTGCCCCTTAGTGTATATCTAAGCTCGTGACTGCTCTTCAACAAACCAGCGCCAGTTCACTTTCTCTCAACTTAAAGCGGGTAGACCCAATTGACTACTCATCATGGCTTTCGGCACGGCAGCTGCGCTTGTCAAGTTGAGTATTGTCTTCTGGTAAGGTAGTGACTCCAGACGTTGAGTCAAAGTATCAGGCAGCTGTGACATGCCCTTTGTCTCAGACGTGCTGGACCCCAGCTGCTGGCTTTAGTAGTGCAGATGAGTCTGCTATTGTTCTTGATATCCGTCAGTTTCAGTCTGAGTAGCTGACATCGGAGGGAGTTGCTCGCATTAGATCGGGAATCACTTGGGGTGAGGTGTATGCCTGGCTGGAGGGGCAAAACCTGCCAGCTATTGGAGGTCGAGACCAGCAGGTCAGACTAGGAGGTTTTCTCCTCGGAGGTGAGGATCTACGATCATTCTCAAGAGGATGTTCTTGGGGCATGGAACCTAACAGTTAATCAACAGGCAGCATGGGGGCTTTGCTTAATCTTTATGGTCTTGGATCGGATGGCGTGAGAAACTTTGAGGTGAGGGAGGCTGCTTTTGTTTTTTTTTTTTTTATAGATACCCAATATGCTTTCTTGCAGCACTCACAGTCGACATCTCCAGGTCCTGTTGGCCAACGGCAGACAGATTAATGCGAACGCGAATGAAAACGCCGATCTCCATCGCGTTCTGAAGGGTGGTGGCTCCAACTATGGTATGTGGCATACTTTTGTTATAGGCTTTACTTGTATTGCGAGCTCAGACAGCCTCGACGTCCCTCTGACACATTTAATAGGTATCGTCACGCAGTTCGACCTTGAAACTCATCCTCTGATCAATGTCCAACACACGATCAACCTCTACAATCCAGATGGCCATGTTGAGACCAACAAAGCAACAGTTGCCGTTCAGAAGGCCATGGAGGATGACCCTAAAATTGGGTTGCTCACCACTTTCAACAATGGCTTCGTTGCTGTGGGCTTACTCTATGGAGATACCCCAGCGGAACCACCTTCGGCTTTTGAGTTTTTCTATAATTTTAAAAACCTGATGACGATGGCTCTCCCCACTACAAATGGAGCCCTCCTATCGTTAGCGCAAGCCATGGGAAATATCCAAGTTTCCCAGAAGTGAGTGCAGAGAGGCAAATAAAAGAAAAAGAAAAAGAGGGCACCCAGCTAGTCACTAACACGCGATAGGCGAGCTACTTGCACGGTCACTACCCAGGTTTCACAGGAACTCTACGAAGAAGTCTACAAGTCCTGGACCGAGGTCTGCAAGACCCTTCCGTCTGGCTGCGTTCTGCATTATACCATCCAGTTGATGGGCAAGGCTGGTGTACAGGCAGGAAAGGATCGTGGAGAGAATATCATGGGACACGAGAGTATTCCGCAGTGCTGTACGTCCATATTTGCGTCCTGCCACACAATGACACCCATCATCTGGAGTTAAATGGCAAACTCCAGGTGTATGACAACGCTAACCGTAATCCCAATTCATAGGGTGGGTTTTCACCTGTGAGTGGCCCCAGGAGGGTGGCGACGACGCCGCCGCGGCGCAACAGGCAGTGGATACATTGTCCGAAATGGTGCACTCTCTGGCCAGAGGAAAGGGACTCTTATTGGACTTTTAGTGTATGAGCTTTGCCATGGCCTCTCAAAGGCTTCTAGGCAGTTACGGGGCTGAGAATATCAAGACGATGCATGAGGCTGCAGCCAAGGACGACCCTGAGGGGTCTTCCAGAAGCTGCAGTCCGGTGGCTTTCTCCTGCGCAACAATGTCTAAATTCTCTCGCCTCTTCCCATGAGTGAGGGTCTTTGTAGTCCCAGCCTAGAGGATAGTGGATTTGAGCTTTCTGCTTTATTTGACTTCCTGTATCGCCAAGCGAACAGGATTCGCAAAAGAACAATCCAGTTATGGACAGATATATACGAAAGACAAGTGAAACCACAAGAGATCTGTTGTGAAGGTAGGTCATGTATTACTCGCACTAACAGGTTCTTAAAGATAAGGCGCATGACTATATTTTAAGTGTATGCCATTATATTCCAAGTATACTCAAACTCCAAACCCACGCTGAAATCACAGCTTCCAATGCATCCATGAGTGACAAAGATTCATATACAATGCCCAAAAGCGTCCTCAAAACACCAAGTCCGTGTACCCAAAGGGTAAAATTATAGATCCAAGAAGTGTAAAACAAAGGAAATACTCCATGCTGGGCAGAACCAGTCCAATAGGCAGGCATGAACGCCGGATCGTCGGATCATCCAGGATATCAAACAACAAATATTCGAGGGCCAACATAAACAAAAGAAATTAGTCGAGTCAAGTGTCATCATGCGTTCTCTTCCAATGCTGCTTTGATCTTTGCAAAAAATCCAGCAGGCCAAGCCGCGAGTTCTTCCTCCTTAGGGATGCCGCGCACCTTGCAGTGATTTACTACGTTCACCAAAATCCTGTTGAGCATTTCCTGGGTGACGGGAACAGCTCCTTCAAGTTGCGCCTCAGGGTATAAGAATGGATCCCTCTGAGCCAGGAGTTGATCCACGGTCGGTCGTAATGTCTGATCACGTTGCAAGCACCCCTTCAACGTTCGGATCAATCCCGGCGGTATCAGCGCTCCTCCAACACCAAAGGCGGGGAAATCAATCTTGACATTTGGATTGGGGATGGCCAAGATGCGCTCATAGTATTTGGCGATCTTCGCAAAAGGAGGCTGACCATACACCATCTTATAGAGAATACAACCCAAGCTCCAGACATCGCTCGGCTTACCAAGCTTCATCACTTTTCCAACGCTTGCCGGCAACCCGAGTGATGCGTTCGAATCAACCAAAGCTTCTGGTGACATATAATTTGGCGTACCAACTTGCTGTTCACGGTGTACATTGACCGTATTGTCCTGGATGGCGTTCGCGATTCCAAAGTCGATCAGTTTCAGCCTTCCTTGTACAAGAAGGAAGTTTGCGGGCTTCAAGTCCGAATGAACAATGTTGTAGTTATGGACTGCTTGAACGCACTCAAGCATCTCCTTCCAATAATATCGAGTGAAGTTGATATCAAAAACGGCATCCTCGGCATTTAATCGGTACGTGAGTACCTTCTCTAGGTCAGATTCTCCAATTTCCATGAGTACACTGAGAGTATTCTTGTCGGAGTTCAACTCCCAGTCAAACAAGCGTACGACACGGTCCAGGTTTTCCAATTTTTTGAGTAGATCGATCTCTCCCTTGTAGCCAGCCAATGTTACGGGATCGACATCCTCCAGGTTCACTCGTTTTAGAGCAAAGATCTTGTAGTTCTCGGCCATTACTCGGTACACGCGCGAACTTCCGCCCCGGCCAATGCAGTCTAATCGCGTGAAGGGTTTGTGATTGACCGATACTTGATTGCGCTTTTTGCGGGATGAGGACGCGGTAGCCGCACCTCCTGTTGCTGTAGCGGTCTCGAGTACGGACATCTTTGGGGGAGGAGGCGCCGGCCTATGTGGGGTATTGTTGCTTCGAGTTGATAGGATCTTTCTGGGTGAGTTTCCAGCTGGAGTTTCCATGCTTTCTTTCTTTTCGTCCCCATGGGCCACTGAAAGCTTTTCTGGTTTGTCAAGCAAGTTGAAGCCCTGTTGTTTCACCCGTTTGAAGGTCGGTGGCGGCTCGTTCTCTTGGTCGCGAGCTGCAGGTAGTGTAGGCGGAGGGGGAACTTTGAAGACGGGTTGATCCTTCGCGCTTGAATGTTTGGATGATGACGCCTCTGATGATGAGCCAGGTGTCGACTTCGAGTGTGACCCGTAAGACTTCGGTGAGGAGGACCTCGAAAAGGGGCCCTCAGTCGCTGAAATGCCAGCAGCTTCGTATGATCGGTACCCTTCCGACCTATGTGGGCTAGGGTCTGTTGCCCATGATACTTTGGGCGATGATGATTTCATCGTGCTTTTGTAATGATAGTCATCGTTGACATAGTTTCCATCAGGGTTCGTCTCTTTGTAACTGTCTGGATCATTGTTTTCCTCACTTTGCCGCCGGAGCACGCCTCTTCTCGCTGGCCCATTCAGAAATGTTCCTGTAAGCCTTCCTACCCTCTTCACACGAAGCGAACTATGAATTCCCAGATCTTCTCCATTCCGACTCCGCAATACCGATGCGGTGCCCAGACGTGGTGCGTAATCATCCTCATGTTTTACTATCCGTCCATCTTCGAGACGACTTGCGCTATCATGCCCTTCAACAGAGCTCCTATCAGCGGATCGCCTTTGGGAGGGCGATATGGACGCGGGGGATCGCGTGCTACTACGTGACCCAGTAATGCGAACACTGCGATGCCTTGGAGCTGGTGTGACAAAATCATGCGAGCTTCCTCTCGCTTCAGAGTCGGCATCCTCACCGCCTGAAGCATGCGATCCTTCTCTTCGAAACCTTGCGCTACTAGTTAATCCGGGTCCAATGCGGACGACCCGAGGCGCCGGGCTCCCGGTCGACCGGTCGTTGGGAGACGTTGTGCGGGAGCGCCTCTCTTGGCTCATTGATGCTGAAGCTACGCGGTCACTCTGGTGATGATCGCTTTGGCCATTTTGGTGCCGGCGAGGGGATAGGTCTAACCCATCTTCATCAAGCAAGGCTTTGACGGAAGCACTGAATTTGGGCTCTGGAACCTCGTCATCGGAGCTATCGCCGGCAGAGTAGCGCTTGGACATCGAAAATTCATTGCTTCTTAGTGCGGCCGAATTCTGCAATTCCGGTGACGTGCGCCTGGAGCTGGCGCGAGAGACCGAGGCGCGGGACATTTGTCGGGATGACTGCTGTCGATGGAGACTACCCGTATATGCTGCGGAGAGGGAGTTAGTGGAAGCCAACATAACGATTCAAAGCGAGGCCATATGGACGCGTCCGCCAATGCGTCGGTCCCGCTACCCAAGAGATACAGATAGGCACTGGCCGCCAGGTTGTCGACTTTTACTTGTTGTGTATACCAGTCGAGATCAACGTACTCGAAGAAACAACGTTACGGGGAGGCTGGGGAGCGGGTATCTTATCACGTGATTTGTTGTTGCCACGGCAATGGTGGGATGACAACAAAGCATGGCTTTTTTCTTTTGCTGCAGTCGCCACTTGAGAGTACATACACATTATCCACATACATGAATCTTCTACATCATGTACAGTAGATACATTATGGTCTACTTGACCTGGCGTTTTGCTGCTCCCAGAGCCATTGAACCACTATTGCAGCATAAGGGGACTGAGCGTCACGGTTTATATGTCACGCCAAGTTACCCCGTCTTCCTCATATATAGTACTTTTTGTCACTATATATAGGTTGTGCATGGCTCCGATTTACTCGCTTTTTCTGAGTTTCGGGAGTCAAACGTCATTACAACCCTACTTAGATTAATTTTAATCTGAAACATACCCTAAAACCTTCTCGGACGTGTTCTCAGCGAACATGGACATCTCTACCTAATATGTTCGCTGCAGACCGGGAGTCTAACATGGAGCTGACACTCCAAGGATGAAGCACTAGTGCTGACTGCCCAACGCATAGCCGATATCTTAGCTGCAAGCCAATTACCTAACTGCTCAATAGCCATAGGCTGTGGTACGCTTGCTGCATACTACGATAGACAATATGAGTTAAGTTCGCGTATATGTCTAAGCAAACAATCATACGATGGTTACTTTACTCTCAGGTAAGTGGACATAGCTACGGCAAGTCTCGGCTGTTATTCGAGAGTGATGGAGGTGATAGGTCCAAAGAGTATGTAGTAGTTATCCAGTCTGGATTATTATAGGAGTTATATCCCTCAAAACTTCTGTTATTTGAAAATTCCCTAGATAACGTAGCGTAGTATCCCGACACCGACTAAATGTCGGCATTTCCATGGGCTCGGAGAATGCCCGAATTCTCTGATGCACCATGTATGTTCTATGCATGCAAGAGTACGTACAGAGTACAAAATTACTACTACTATCAACACTGAATGCTATCGTATTCGGGTACATTCCATACGGAGTGCACTGTTTTTCAATATGTTGTCTGTATGTATAGAGTACAATCTAAAGTAGACATGCACCTGACATAGTTCACCTGAGAGTCACCTGCCCTCCAAAAGCTGATCGTCATCCAAAAATACCTATCTTTCCCGATACTCTTCTTCTCACATCCAAGGAATTCTCTCCATCACGGTAACTTTCGCTGATAAGGTTACAACCTTGAAAAAACCTCCTGTCAACCATGACCAAACTCAGTTAATATGCCGAGATACGGATGTTAAAGTTTTCAAGAGTTTCTTAGAATAGAGGGAAGAACGAGATGGATCCAGTCCAGCTGCAGGTGATGAAACTGCGAACCCTTCGCAACCTCCCCCACTTTTGTTACAGAGTCGAACAAACGCTTGAGGTAAACTTGCTCGATTTGGTTTGATCGCACGGAAATTCCTCACTGAGCGCGATCTGAACCTGGTTCCCATCGGTTAAGGCGGCCAAACGGGGCATCTCAGGCCACTCAGAGGGGAGTGGAGCCTTAGGAACCAAGGCCACAAGAGCACATGGAGTCATGGACGCATGGATCCAGGAACGCCCTTACTTGGGTAATGATCTCCAAAGGAAGGCTATCCCGAGGTTAACATTCAACTATTGT